GATATATAGATTCTCTAATAATTTTCACCATGGTACATAAACTTAAAGGAGCTTTTTCACCTTTATAAGCCATTTAATCCTATTTTTTCTTTATCTCAATTCTCAACATTGAGCAAACATCTGATGGTATAATACAATTATTAAAAGTCGATAAAAAATTTAAAACAATGGATACAAAAATATATTATAAGAGGAAAAGAAGAAAGATTCGTCTTATTTTTTAAAACATGGGAAGATTTAAAAAAAAAAAACAATGTTATGGTTATCTTTTTTTTTAAAATGAAAAAAATTTTAGATTTCAAAAGATTTCCATATTTAAAATATTTTTAATTCTAGATTATAAATATAAATTATGTTTTAAAAGACTCCATGGTGCATAAGTATTCTTCTCCTTGAAACATATTTTTAAGATTTAAATTGTTTTAAATTTTTAATTTCAGATTTTAAATTAATTTTGTTAATTACTTAGTTAATATTTATTTGTTCCTTTTCTTATTTTAATTTAAGTATTTCCTAACTAAATTATTTTATATAAATATTTCTTCGATTATATATTTGAAATTATAGAATTTTCTTAGTAAAAAATCAGTTATACCCTCCTATTATTCTAGGAACTCCTTTTATAAATGCAATTTATCCGTTCACTATTATAAATGCTAAAGGATTTTCTACTAATTATAAAAATCAAGATATTAGTTATACTTTTATCACCGAGCCTATTTCTAGAGATATTAATGCTCTAATTGAAATGAAACAAAAGCATGTTGATTATTTACAACTTGAGATATTTAGAATGAATATATTCGATACTTTAAAATTTGCTAAAGTACAGGAAAAGATTAAACTCATTTCTGAAAAAATGGCCATTGATATTTGTGCTGATCATCCTAGTGCCTTTTGGAATCGGAAAAAGCATATTGTAACTCTTCCATATGAAGATGATTTCTCTGAGGAAAATATCCCTACCAAATCACGTCCTTGTCAGATGAATACCAAATTGGTTGAATTCTGCAAAAAGGAAATCGATAATTTATTACAAAATGGTTTGATAAAGCCTTCCAAATCGCCTTGGTCATGTACTGCTTTTTATGTTAATAACGCAGCAGAAAAAGAAAAACAAACTATTCGTTTATTAAATAAGCGTGATATTGAATTATATAAATCTCAATATAAATTCTTGCATATTGGCATGACTCAAATTGCTTTCAAGTCTTTGACCCTTAAAGGGTTACCAGAGACTTTCTTAGCTGCTCTACGAGATGCGAGGAATTTAAATTTTCGTCAATCCTTGATGGGTTCGATAGAATCTACAGTGACCGATTTACAGTGACCATGGGACCCATTGATAAGGGTCCCATGGTCACTGTAAATCACTGTAGATCGGTCACTGTAGATCACTGTAGATTCTATCGAACCCATCAAGGATTGACGAAAATTTAAATTCCTCGCATCTCGTAGAGCAGCTAAGAAAGTCTCTGGTAACCCTTTAAGAGTTAAAGGTTTAAAAGCAAAAAATTATACTGAGATTTATATAATTTAATATCACGCTTATTTAATAAACGAATAGTTTGTTCGGACGAGTTTTAACACCAAGGATTGTTCAGTTGTTTTAATCAACTGTTTATTAGAAATCTTATCAAACCAACCATAATCATAAATGGTTTTTATATTAACTTTCGGAATAGTCCATTTGTTTAACAAATCAAGGTTTTGAGGTATATCTACCTCTTCTAGTCGAGTGCTTTTAATATCTTCTTGATCCATAAAAGAGAGATTAAACGATACAGGATCACTGACCTGGCGGTGGTCCGCCCAGTCATAGATCAAGCAAGTCAATATCCTTAGAGGTAGTCCAACTACATAAGAATCGAAATACACAAGAATTTTAACATAGTTTCTCAGACTGCATGGTTTAATTATTTTACCCAAGCAAAGGGCCTGTCAAGAAGCTAATACATACTTTTATTGAGCTCATGTGTCTGATAGTTCTAACCAGGTATGAGGTGCTCTACTTATTAAACTCAATTTCGGGCTAAAAACCACGGCTCATCAAAGACAAAGCCAATAAAAGTAGTACTAGATCCGACTGTACCTCAATCTTAGAACCAAGTCGAGAAGCCATACTAAAATTCTTCTATATTTAAATAAGCTTAGATCCGTTCATGGTCTATATAAAAGAGAAGTTAGTTATCCGGCATAGATATAAATTTTTAGCCGGACATAGTCACAGCTTCTAGATCGGAGATATAAAAAGATTTAAAAATAAAAGAAGAGAACTAAATTACCTTGTATCAACAACTTTATTTACTTCCGGCGAACCTCCGGCAAACCGAGAGCTTTACAAACTAAGAGAAAGAAGCAACTCAAAACAAAAAAAAAAATTAATGAAGAGAGAGTGTTTATCGACGCCCTCCTTCAAACTACAAAAAACCTTATTTATAGAAGAAAAAGGGATCTATCTACAGTGATCTACAGTGACCGATCTACAGTAATTTACAGTGACCATGGGTCCCTTATCAATGGGTCCCAAATGTACAGTAACAGTTTTTCTACTGTGTTTTAACAGTGTATCTACTGTTATTATTATTATTATTAAATAATAATAATAATAATAATAATATAAATTTTTCCTAAATTTTTAGCAACATTATTGGGGTAGTTATCTATGTAAAACGTGAGAAGTTTTACATAGAATTAAAACTTATTATATGTAATATTTTTAAATTTATGTAAATGTAATTTTTTTTTAAATAGTTATAGGTAATATTTTAGTTGTAACCTATTAAATTTACCTATAATGTAATATTTGGGAACAAAAAACTTATAATTTACATACATAGTTAATTATAAGGAACTATTAAAACATTACCTATAATGTTATCAATTTGATGCCATTCATTAGTTTTTTCGTTCCTGGCAGAGAATATCAACATCATTGTTTCATCTTCTTCACTACTAATAATCATCCGAAACACAACATTTTAGAATTTCAAAATAGTTGTAGTGTAAAAAATAAGCTTTTCGTGCAATTTACGTTTCATCAGACCAATAATTGGACCAGTATTGCATTCTTTGGTTAGATATGGAAAATCTCCTTCACTATATTTTAAAAAATAAATTAATTCTATTTAAAAGTTAAAAATTAGAGATTAATATTGGCATTGACACGTAGGCGCAATTATATTCTCTTATCATATAAGAGACAGTTTGTGCTGAAGAAGGCGCGTCTCCGTCGACGTGTCTGTTTCAGCGTTTCTTTTTAAAAACACTTAAAAATTTATTTCTTTTATTCTACTTTATTTAATTAGTGTATAATTTTTTTGCATCCGTCGACGTGTCTGCTTCAGCGTGATATTTAAAAAAGATCTAAAAATTTATTTCTTTTATTCTACTTTAATTTAATTAGTGTAAGTTTGTGCTTAAGCAGGCACGTCGATACGTCTCTATCGACGTGCCTGCTTCAGCGTGTTTTTATAAAAAAAACTTAAAAATTTATTTCTTTTATTCTACTTTAATTTAATTGGTGTATAATTTTTTCGCATTTGTCGACGTACCTGCTTCAGTGTGTTTTTTTTAAAAAATAAAAATTTATTTCTTTTGTTCTACTTTAATTTAATTAGTAATTTTTTCGAATTTATGAAATCTGTTTTAGCTATGAATTTTTTCGTCTCCGTCGACATGCCTGCTTCAGCGTGTTTTAAAAAAAAAAACTTAAAAAAAATTATTTCTTTTGTTCTACTTTAATTTATTTAGTGTATAATTTTTTCGAAATTATGGAATCCGTTTTAGCTATAAATTTTAATTTTAAATCCAAGAAGACGTGTATGCTTCACCGTGTTTCAAAAAATATTTCAAATTTTTTTTACTTCTTTTGGTTTACTTTAATTAAATAGTGTATAATTTTTTCGAAATTATGGAAATCGTTTTAGATAGGACTTTTAGTTTTAAATTCATATTCTTTAGTAACTGCTTTATGTAATCCGTTTTAGCTATGACTTTAGTTATTTTGAACGTTGGTAATATTTGTTTATATCCTGTAACTACTTTGAGTGAAAAATCAATGATCGGTGACTAAAATACATTAATTATGGACATCTTAATGAAACTCTTCACAGTAAATTTGCGCAAACAAAAGGTAATTAACAACTTAAATATCTAAAAATCATATTAAAATTTAATCAACTTTCTAAATTCTACCTATATCACATAAATTAATATAAAAAAATATTAAGATATTGGGCCCGTGTTAGCACGGGCACCTTTTACTAGTACTTGAAATAAGAGATCAAAGAGTGATTTTTTTAGCTACAAATTTAGAAGTTCTATTTCACTAGGAGAAGTCTCATAAAACCCCTTTGACTCGGAAAGTAATAGCGAGCATAGCTAAGCTAATAGCAGATTTTGTGGTTGCCATTATTGGTGCCAAACATAATGAGTTAGGTAAGAGCTTTCACCACCATAATTAGTATTTGGTACGATTACTAGGACTTGAGTCTCTTTTTTCACTTGAAAAATGATCAAAATCACTTTTTCAAACTTGAAACTCATCTTTACCCTATAATGTTTGAAAGAGATGTTGCAAATGGAAACTTAAAGAACATAAAGTATCATGTTTAGTAGGGAATTTAATTAATTATCCTAGTTTACCAATCAACTGCATTTAATATATAGTCAAAAAGCCTTAGAATGTTCCAAACTCCTTCTTAAGGTGACATTTCTTCTACAAAGTAGTACAACAACAAGGATAACAATAACAAATCCAATTTAATCCCATAAGTGAGTTCTAAGAATGGCGATATGTGCACAACCTTTACCCCTATCTTGTGAAGATAGAAAGGTTATTCCCAATAGACCTACAAAGTAATACAACAACAACATACCCAATGTAATCTTACATGTGAGGTTTGAGAAGGGTATAGTACTATACATAGACCTATCCTTGTCTCGTGGAGGTAGAGCGGCTCTTTTAGAAAATTCCTCGACTCTTCCAAATTCCTTTCTTAAGATGACATATTTCTTCTACAAAGGAGAGTAGATATGAAATCATCCAATGCTTTAACAGAAGATCCTTTAAAATCCTCCTCTTCTTTAACAGCATCTCTAATACACATCCCAAGTTCAATAGCTTTTTCCTTCATTTCTTTCCCTTTTCCATTTTCTCCCAAAACAATTTCCACCACTTCCTTCACATCCTCTTTATCAACATCACTTGAATACCATTTAGTTAACTCAACACAAACCCCCATTTCTTCCATCAACATCTTTGAATTAAATGTTTGTTCAGCAGCCAAAGGCCAACTAATGATAGGCATTCCTTGACTCAAACTCTCCAATACTGAATTCCATCCACAATGAGTCAAGAATGCACCAGTTGAACTATGACTCAAGATTTGCAATTGGGGTGCCCAAGATTTCACTAGTAGACCTTTTTGACTCTTTGACACTCTTTCTTGAAACCCTTTTGGTAACCATTCAGATCTAAACTCACCCTTTATGTCAAAACCAATAGGTGGCCTAATCACCCAAATAAATGGCCTTTCACTTTCTTCCAACCCCATAGCCAATGCCATCATTTGTGATGTACTAATTGTGTTTTGTGAACCAAAAGATATGTAAAGAACAGATCTTTCAGGATGTTCATTCAACCAAGAAATACATTCTTCTGATGACAATCCATGTTCTTTCCCAAGTCTTGATTCAAAGATTGAATCTTTACCTTTTTTTGATTCAAAGATTGAATCTTTACCACTTCTTGGGTCAAAGATTGAATCTTTACCACTTTTTGGTTCCAAGATTGAATCTTTACCACTTCTTGGTTCAAAGATTGAATCTTTACCACTTCTTGATTCAAAGATTGAATCTTTTTCACTTTTCTTGAGCATACATTGAGGAAGCAAAGGTCCAATACACCAAACAGGAAGTTTAGTAAGATTCTTGATAGCCTTAACCCCCATAGGTTCAATATCCTCAACACTATTTCACAAAAACCCTATAGAATCAAAAGAAGGTAACAACAAAGATTTCAACATTTTAGACCAAGGGTCATCCCCCATTAGCTAATTTCATAAATGGATGAAGTTGTTCAACAGAGAAAAAACAACAAGAATCATCAAATCCAGGCATTTTAAAAACCCCATCAATAGCTAACAAATGAGGAAGATTTAACCATAGTGACACATAAGCTGCTGTTCCATAAGCACCAGCAGTAGTAAAACTCACATTAAAAGTTCCACAAGATCTTGCAACTTCACTAGCAAATCCCATAAATGTATCAGAAACTATACAAAGTGGTGGGTTACCATCTTTTTCAATAATTTCAAGAATCAATTTTTTGAGTGGTTCTTTAAGAGATAATGTTGAGTTCAAAATTGTCACCATGTGTTTTAAAGGTAAGGACTCTGTGTTCTCTGTGTTTGGTGGTAAACAATGTTCACTACTATTATAAGTAAGTGAAACTACTGAAATGTTATTTGAATTAGTTGAATCTTTGGCTATAGTGGAACTTAGATATTTGACATTTAAAGGGGTACTAACAATAGTGATTTTGAAGTTGGTTTTTTCTTGAATTTTTTTCGCTAAGGCTATGAAAGGTATCATATGGCCAAGTGCAAGATATGGAAGGATTACTATATGTTCTTGATGGTCACTCATTTTTTTTCTTTTTTGAGAAAATTATGGTTTTTTTTTTTTTGGTAGAAAGAGATGTGTATAGGGTGAGATGAAGGGAGAAGAAAAAATTGGATTGTGTTTGTTGTTAACATTTCAAAGTATTATATAAATGGAAAGTTGGGAAGAGAAAGCCAACCTACTTCTGGTTTCATTAACAATGGTCCCCATTTTACAATTACGAGGGGAAAAAAGAGTGACATATTTGGTAAAGGTGTTTATCAGAGGCGGAACACATCAACAATTTCTTAAATTTGAAAGTATATTACATGAACATGTGATAAACGATTCTTATTAGACTTTTCTGAATAAATTTTGGAAAAAGCTTTGTATATATTCTCAAGTGTCCATTACGTAGAATATGTCTTCACCTTTAACTATAAATATTAACTATTCTTTGGACAGATTAAGGTAACATATTTTAAGTGGTTAACTTGTCTACGTAATGAATGTTCGACAATACAAGGAAAGCATGTCAATTATGAGATATGTTGTACTACTTTGTAGTTTTTTTTTGTTTTCCATTTTGTATTTGGTACTCATATTGGAGGTCGAGTAAATTTGGATTCACGCTCCTTAACAAGGATTACTCTGTACACATGGGGGACTCGAATCCGAAACCTTTTATTAAGAATGAAGAAGTACTTACCACTCCATCAAAACTTTGATCGGTGTACTACTTTATAGTTGAAGTGCAATGAATGATATTCGAAATATATATTTTTTATGTTAGGGACATGTGGAAAAAAAAGTATCTATATCACATACGTGGATAAATTGAGTTCACTAAATTCCTTGTGTACCATGTTCAAATGTGCCCCAAACATTAGGTACGCATGCCATAACGTATTTGGTTTTAGGTAGCTCATGACTTGTAGAAAGTCTCGATAAATGGTGGTGATGAGATAAATAAGATTTATTTATTTTTAATTAACAATTGGAATTTCTTTTCCTATTGTTAATCCAATGAAAAATGAAGTATGTCATTCAACATCACTTGACTGACGTTAAAATAAAAGTACAGAACAAAGGTGGCAACTTATGTTTTAAAATATTGTTGTTTTAACACAAGAAAAATAAGTATTCCCTCCGTTTCAATTTAAGTATTTTAATTTAATGGAACATGAAATTTGAAAAATAAAGAGAGAGATTGAAATTAGAAAACTTAATAAATAATACTATAGAACAGAGTGATTACCACTCTTTTGCAAACTAACTGGCAACTGTGATATATATTCCACATAGAATCAACTAATGTATACAGTCGCTATTCCCTTAAATGTGAGAATATACCTACTCTATCTTCATCATCATGTTTACTAAAGTAATTGACCAACATTTAAGGGAATATATATTCTCATACAAATATAATTTGCAACTGTTTAGAAGGTACTCTTGTGCAAATCCCCTCAAATATCAAAAACCTTAAAACGACGATATACTGGTAAACTTAAATTAACACACTCTTCTATTCAGTTAAAACTAACTAGTATATATATTACTTTACTTTTTTTACTATTAAGAAAAATGAGAATAGCACCCATCAACATGTATGTTTATCGGGATAAAATTTAAATTTCAGGATACTCATGTCATTTTACAATTTTTCACCTGCATGTACTTTTATTAAGTCTCACATATTCATACATAGTAAACACTTACTTCATTCCTTCAGCATATAACATACTTCTTTTCTATTGCTTATTTTATTTATTAGAAGAAATTCACATAAATAAAATAATAGTAATAATAATATAAAAATTTTCATATATTATAAAATTATATACTTAATAATAAAGAAAAATTATATAACAAATTATTTTTTATGTTTCAGTCAAACAAATAAATAAAAAAATAATTTAGTATAATGACCAAGTGAACAAACCAAGTACCATTTTTATTTCATTAAACTCACTCTTTCCCCCTATTTAAAATTCTATTAAAAGAATTTTGGAAGACTCCCCTTCATCTCTCTACAATAATAATAATAATAATAATAATAATAATAATAATAATACACGGTCATCTTAAATCTAGCTTGTTAACATCCGAAAATAATTTTGAAAAGAAATACATAGAAATTCATATAATTTGATGACTGTATGAAAGGATTAAATCCTTTTACCCAAGCAAAGGGTCTGTCGAAATTCAAATACGTATTGTTAATGAGCCCATGTGTCTAGCAGTTCTAACCGGGTATGAGACGCCCTTTTAACTCATTTTGCGGGCTAAGACCACGGCTGGCTAGACGGAGTCACTAAGACAAAGCCATTAACTTGTTGTATTGAATCTGACTGTACCACCATCTTGGAACCAAGTCAAAAAATCATATATGAATTTATGCATATTTAGATAAAGTCTAGATCTTTCATGTTAGATATAAAATCGAAGTTAGTTATCCGGCATAGATATAAGTCTTTAGCCGATCATACGGCTTAAATAGGAGCAAAAGTAGAGAAGTAAGAAGAAGAAATACCTTTAGGAACAAACAAGAATACTTTTTATTTTCCGGCCAAAGTCCGGCAAACTTACAATACAAAAACTTACAAAAGATTTAGAGAGAGAGAGAAAGTAGAGAGAAGAGTTGGTTTCTAAAACCTGCCTCTTCCTCTGATAAAAGCCTTTATAATCTACATCCACTATTGTTAGTGCCTATACAGTATATCTACTGTTTGATAGTGCTTTCTACTAAGCTTTGTCTCTTATCTTTGCCAAGAGTTCTTCAGCCCTTTTCAGCGCATCTGTTGGTTCTTCTTCTTCGATCTGTTGAGCTTCGTGCATATCTTCACTAGTCTCACTCCGCATCGAGGAGTTTGATTTCGTATATTGATTTAGATTTGAAAGAAGAGTCTGTTTTACCTCCTCTAGGTAATTCAAAATCATTTGATTTTGCTCTTCTTCATCATGATTGGAAATCCTTCGAGCTATATGCTTAATCGAAGCTGAGTCATCAGTCATAATTCCTTTATTAGAAATTGATTTATATTCTTTAATAGTCGTTGCAATTTGGTCCAACAGTTCTTGTCCATAGATTGACTTAGTTTGTGGATCCTTTTTCATTAGTTTATCCCAAAAGTTATTATAATATGTGCGATATAAGCAGGGGATCTGTTCTTTAGTAAAATCCACCTCTGGAATCCACTTGTGAATCCATGGAATGGAAAATTCTATAAAGAAACATATATGTTCTATTTGTTGTAAATAAGAGACATGATCTTGATGATATAATCTGTTAAGATCTGGGGAAATCTTTACCCATTCTTTATATAATTTAAGAAATGGTTCGGGAAATATTTTTACTGTTGGCCCGTGGTATGACCACCAATTCAAAAACCAATTTGGTATAGGACTAGCAAATATCTTTGCACATACTTTTATGAACCAAGTATGTTTGTGCCTCTCGTTGTTATAACAAAGGACTTTATCAAATGCTTGGATATAATCCCAATATGTGAAACTTATCTTAACATTGTTAAGGCTAACCTGTCTTTCTGTCATTAAGGAAATACCCCAATCTTCAATGTGAATGATTTGTTTAATAATCATTTTGGAGAAGTTATAAACATTCTCACTGGTATTGTATCCAGAGAAGTGTTGAAATTCAACACCTGTACTTATCAGTAAAGTCTCATAGTACTTTTGAGTTTTGTATGACTCACCTGGGAAGTATAGGCCATTGAGCAAGTACCTTTGGAATATCTTCCAAGGTTCTTCTCTCCTCTGTATATCAGAATTTTCCAAGAGAAATATCATTTCTCTTTTCTCTACCTTTTCATAGGTTTTCATATCATCAATAGTATCTTCTTTGGCTAATGAAGCAAAAGTATTACTTTGCTTTTGGTTTATAAATTCTTGTAATCGAGCGTATAACAGATCACTTTCTGGGATATCTTCCAGATGTATTGATGAAGAGGTTTTCTCTTGTGTATTTGAATTTAGTTTAACTAAACTCATTCCTCCTCTTTGTAAGATGGGAGTGCTAGATGAAGAAGATCCGTATGACGATCTTGATGAGACTATTGAGGATGATCTTCCTCTACCTCTGCCTCTACCCTTAGTTATCCAAGGGTGTTCCATTCTGCAAATGAAACAATAAGTTTTAGACCCAATATGCGTCATAATAAGTGTTTCTTTCTTCTGCTGTTTGGAATAGATCTATCAACATTCCATCTATAATTTTCCAGCAAATATGTTCCTTTAAATCTCTGTTAAAAGGAATAACCTTTAGAATAGTAATCAGTCTTTTTTCTATAAAAAACATAGAGATAGGAATATTATGATCTTCCTC